ATATCATTTAAACGTAATCGGCGAAACAGACAAAAATATTTCGTGTACCACCAAAGTTACAACCCCCGCAATAGAGAATTGCTCTACATGCATTAGAAAATGTTCCTAAAAAAATTTGAAACCTGAAAGAGGGGCGAGATTTTATGTTTAGAAGGCAATTGGGGGATGCTTTGTATATCATTTTGGGGGATGCTTTGTATATCATTTAAACGTAATCGGCGAAACAGACAAAAATATTTCGTGTACCACGAAAGTTACAACCCCCGCAATAGAGAATTGCTCTACATGCATTAGAAAATGTTCCTAAAAAAATTTGAAACTTGAAAGAGGGGCGAGATTTTATGTTTAGAAGGCAATTGGGGGATGCTTTGCATATCATTTAAACGTAATCGGCGAAACAAACAAAAATATTTCGTGTGCCACCAAAGTTACAACCCCCGCAATAGAGAATTGCTATACATGCATTAGAAAATGTTCCCACAAAAATTTGAAACTTGAAAGAGGGGCGAGATTTTATGTTTAGAAGGCAATTGAGGGATGCTTTGTATATCATTTAAACGTAATAGGTGAAACAAGCAAAAATATTTCGTGTACTACTAAAGTTACAACCCCCGCAATAGAGAATTGCTATAAATGGCTAGATAATGCGATTTAATGAAAAAAATTCGTTAAGCAACTTGTGAGCAACAGGCGAAGAGTGCACTTTCAAATTTATTTTTTCGATTTTCATAGTCCTTATGGACATTTCATGTAACAAGAATACAAACACGAAATAATTTTTAATTTCCGAGTCAGGTAACTGACGAGTTTTGTATCAAATTTTACCCGAAATCGTATTTTAATATAAAATTTCAATTTTCATATAGAACTTTTGATGAATGTCCATCTGTCAGTGATGACAGGAGTCATTATAGACATTTAGCAATGTCACAAATGCGGCCGGTAAAGTGACGGTGCGGACGGTAAAGTGACAAGCTGCAGGAAACGTAGTCTTCGCTGCCTCTGTCATGGAAACTAAAATTTCCTAACAGTAACTAGGCATGAAAATAAAGGTTTCAAGACGATTTTGGGTAAAATATATTACGATTTCTCTGTACTTCTGCTTTTACATAATTATACAGAAGGAAAACTGTCAAATGTATATTTGTGAAGGATTTCATGATCCAACAAAATGTTCCAAATTACAAGTTTCTTCATTTTCTGAGGTACTTGAATTAAATTCAAATCACTTATAAGTAGATTCAAGGAAGTAAAAATTCAATGTGTTCATGTCGTAATCTTCACCTCTGACGTTTTTATCCTGGGAATTTATTTCTAGAATAACTTACCACGCCTTGATTGTCTTAGTATATGGTTTTACGATTCTTATAAGAAGAAATATTTTTCTCGATACTAAATATTTGGCCGCTCAACCCCTGGACGAAAATATTTGTGGAATTTTACCGGCATTACATTCTATATATAGTTGCGAAACAAATAAAGATCTGGCTGTCATATTAATTATTGAGAGGATCCTTTATGGTTTTGTATTGTCGTCAGTCAGTCCGCCCATCCATCCGTCCGTGTGCGCCCTATCTCTTTTTAAAAGTGGCCGATGGTTGGACATTAAGGACGGACGCTATTGATTTTCAGGAAGCTGGTTCAACTGGAACAAAAGTTAGAGGACTTCGAGTGAATCGGGAACAGGAAAAACTACAGGCTCAATATAATAGAAATCAATATATTTCATTCCCTAAATGCGTACATATATGGCCAAATACAAGTATAACACAAGAAAGGCAACGCTTACCCTCATATAGAAGGAGATGTCATCCAGAGAAATGCGCTCAGTTCCCGGATTCCCATAAAATCTGCAAACAAAAGAAAAGTCCCAAGACGCAGAACTCAGAATGCAAAGAACTGAACAATGCCTGAACGGCTTCAGCTTACGCGTAGTAAGCTTCTATAAAGACACGGTTACTTAGCCAAGGCTACCCATATGCGTATGTAAAACGTATCCAGAAAAGAAGGTATATACGTCAAGCAGATTAAATGCAAATGGCGTACTTACAATGAAGACAAATAACGGATATATCCTCCTACTGGCGTAAAAGAGTGAAATTCCATTCACAAATTGATGCGCAATCCCCAATTAACCGAATATTAACGCATATGGGTGACGGCAATTAAAATCACATGCGTTTCGCTGCTTGATCAAGTGCACTCTGTCACAGATGACGAACGAATGAGGAAAATGAATGTTAACCTTCGATAACGACAAATTACGTGTTTAAAATTCCAAGGTTGCAACTGTTACGAGGATCATTCAATAAGTAAATATACCGGGAACAATACTAATGTTTCTAATGAAGAAAATAAATCGTTACAAGTTAAGAAATACATTTTGATCAATGATGTTAATAATTAATAAGAAAGTTGAGTTTAGTGATGGTGTTCACACAAAAATAGTAATGTTTCCAAATTTCCATTTTTTTTTTAATGGAACCGACCACTATTTTATTTCTCTATTCGATAGTTTTTTGTGTGCTCTTCAATTTTTATAAGGGGAGTCCTGTGTCTAAACCCCGTTGTTTTTAGGTTATTCAATATTTTTCACAAAAATAGTTACACATTAATTAATTCCATGTTTATAAACCGGTGTAGACAGTGATTATAAAAAAAAAACAAAAAATGCCAGAATATAAGCAAGTGTCACAAATAAATAATTATTTTTAAATAATCTTATTTTACTACGAAATAAAGAGTGCACTTGCAACAAATCATTAATTTATGGCACTTGATTACTGTCTGGCGGTCTTTGGTTTTTATTATCCTGTTTAGAAACATAACCTAAAAACTACGGGGTTTAGGCGCAGGACATTCCTTATAAAAATTGAAGAGCACACAAAAGGCTATCGAATAGATAAATAAAATAATGGTAATTCCATTAAAAAAAATAGTTATGTCGGTTTGAAATTTATAAACTTTACTATTTTTTGTAAACACCCTGTATCACTAAATCCAACTTTCTCATAACCAACGTGTTTCCTTTTATTCAGATTACATCAAATGTAGTTCTTAACTTTCAAATCAAAGTCGCTACGATTTATCAAATTGGGGCTTGCTTATGGACAATTATTCGGAAAAAATTAATAATCTGGTATTTTGACAAAAACCAAAAAGTGAATAGATTTCCATGCAAAAGTTAAAAAAATGTAATCAAAACAACTAAAAATATACAGAGTGTTCCATGAAAAAGAATCAGTTCTCTACTGAATAATTTCTGTAGATGCGCAACCATCTATAGTTGAGATTTGCACAAAAGGTTTTTTGATATTTTTTACCAGCTATGAGCTAGGAAAGACCGACGCACTGTTGCAAAACCCTGTATATATGACACTATAACTCAACGTTTGTAGAAAAAATTACTTACAAAGACCTTGTTTCGAAGAGTATCGATTTTTTAAAAAATGCAAAAGATATTGAATCTGCTCAATCACGGAAAAATCGTTCTGTTTAGATTAGTCATTAATAAAATCATAAGTCAATTTAATGTTATTTGTTCGGTTACTCTTTGGTTCTACGAGCGGAAGGGACATGGGAGCGCCCATAGCATGCAAATCCTTTACCTTTTTAAAAAATACAAGCTTTGAAGGCCAGAGGACGAAATAATGAAATTCAACATTCAACGATACGCGAAGTTTGGATCCATATTTCAACGGATTGGACAGGATCTGATGGGTCTTAGGAAACTAAATCTCGAGTGCTTATTAAATTTTTTCAGGTGGACATAAAAATCCAGTAGACTCCCTATTCACTATTCAGACCAAAACCATCGGCGTTGATGACCTGCCTTACGCACAAGATACAGTAACGAGAACTAAAGCAAGTGAGTAAAGAAGGCCAAGTCGTCGATTGCTTTTTTTCTCTGAAAGACATCTTTCGGAGTTCACCCCACCTGAACTGGTTAGTGAACTTTCAGAAAATACTCACCTTAACAGAAAATAACACCACAAAAAAATCAGATTTACATACCTAATTAAGATCTATGTTAAGGTTTTTTTGTTGCCTGACGTGTTTGGCGTTTTTCATTACGAACCTTAATAAGAATTTTACGGTACAATGCTGCCGTTGAATGACCCGACACTTTTTATGTATTTTTTCTCAAAGATTCAAAATAAACAAACAGAATAAGTAATACATATATCTAAATTATATACAAGGATGTTAAATTTTTAATGTTCTTGACTATATTAGTCGTAAGAAGTACGTTAAGATAACCAGATATTCAGCACTGTGATGTATCAGAAACGTCAAACTTAACGTTCAGGTTGTCGTTAGAAATACCTACATCACAGGGCTGAATCAACTCAAATTACAATAATTACTTGGGACGCGAAGCAAGTAATATGCAAACAATAGAGGAGACATAAAAAAAGTGATCACAATTCTAAAAGAAAGTGACTTTTAAAATTTTACACAGACTAAACCACATAACCACCCAGTGTACTATAATGAAACAGCAAAAACGGGAAGATCTTTTCAATTTTTGACAATATGAATAATTTAAAAGATGGCCATTTTACTTCTTTGACATCTAATTGTTTATTTTCCCAATGGTAGTGGTTTTGATCTTTTGCTTTAAGTGCCTTGTTACAGAACACGCATAAAATTGAAAACTTTCGCTTACGGGCTCTGAAGAAAACTTAGTAGTCTGAATAATAATGGTTCTAAACTATTTAGATCAAAGCAGTCTTGCTCATCTGTGGAGTTACTGTCGGTTTTCCCGGGAAACATCGGACTACTACTAGTTATCGTGTCCCTTACATACATACCGAAGAAGTCCAAAGGGTTTTGTTTCCTAATAATGTGGATATGCTATTCTATTTATCTACCATCCTATTTTAAAAATACAAAAACTCTGATGCTGATGGTGATATAAGAAATCAACTCCGATTTGCATAAATACCTACTATTAATAGACAAAATAATGCATAAACCTAACGACACATAGACCATTATAAATCAATCAATAACAATTTTATTTACAGCAGACCTCATTTACATGTATTAAGGTGTAAAATGATTCTTAATTTGAAAATGTTTGTTCAACGAAACAAAAAAAACGTGTCATTGCCAAATTGTTTAGTAGAACTTGTCTTCTTCTCTTTCAAGTGAGAACGCGGGAGGAAAATCGCAATCGCGATCGCCCAATCGGCAAATGCAACCGTCTCTGATGCTGTGCAGGAGGCAAGGGGCCTCTTCCTCGAAATCGAAATCGGCGGTGGGAGGTTGTTGCGTCGAAGGGGTTGCGGGTACAATTTCGTTTTCCTCGGGTGGTACGTAGTTTCTGGTCAGGATTGCGAGAAGTATCGAGTGTCTCTCGCCTCTTCCGTATCTGAAAGTCATATAAATCGTTTTAAATTTGTACAAATCAAGGAAATGCATTCATTTTCGCCTAATTGGGGACACTTTTTCGTAAAGCACACTAATACAAGAATTTAGCTAAATTTGCAAATTTAAGGGAAAAACTCAAATTAAGGCAAAGATAAAAGTGCCAGAATTACTAGATAGATTTAAGGTCGAAAGCTGCAAGATGATACCAAGTGAAATAGGTTTGGTAAAAGATTAGATCAGGATTGAGGAAGGTAGCTAGAATAGCCAGAAAGGAATGGGTTATAAAGAAAATTTTAGAACTATAATAGACAAAGGAATTTAAATTCGACAGAGCATTCGGGAACAAAAGTGCAGGATCGTATCGTATCGTATCGTATGGGTGGCACTCCCTAGGTACAGACGTTTTCAGGTCGCACTGATTAAAGGAAAAAACGCCTAAACATGTCAAAAGATTTGTCAAGGGGGACAACTTTTTAACCAAGAACTACTTCACCCCCTTTCCCCCTCTGCCCCCCCCCCCGGGTAATTCCCTTAAACATTTTAAATGACAAATGGTATCGAGTAATATAGCTTGTGTGAAAAGCGTTTCGAAGTTCTTTATTTTTACGTTTGATTTTTTAAAATCGGTCGATTCGTTTTCGGTAAAATCTGAATTAATAAATTCATTTTCACTAGCCCAAGATTGTCACAAAGGTAACTGACAGAAAACTAAATTCTTTTCTTTACCATAGCACATATTTTCGTTTGATTTTGTTTTCTATCTGAAGAAATTAAGATAGGTCGAATAAATAAATTAAATAAAGAAGAAGGAAGAAATAAATATATTGCATTTTCTTATAAACGCGGATAAATTCACCATCGTTGTCTCCGTCTAAGTTGTACTCGTGCACCCACGACCTTCTTTCATTGTCTAATTTTACAAATTTAAGAGTTATAACATGCGCGAATAACATAGTAATAGTAGCAGAAAGGGAAAGAGATCTAGAAACAGGATTAAATGGTAAGGAGACTGCAGTATGCAAATAAACAAGGAAATAACAAAATTAATGAAATGTACGAAAAGAGAAGGTAGGAAAAGATAAAGCTTCAAATAGGAAACGACACTTTATGTAAAGGAATTTCGTAATTTAAGTAGTACCTAAGGTTACCAAAGATAATCGTAGTAAAGAAGATATAAAATTTGGGGCACCGCAGGCTAAAAAGCATTTGAACAAAAGCGGGACCTGCTAAGATCCGGGATAAATATAGGAATTAGGAAAAGGCTGCTAAAAAGGTACATAAGGAGCAGAGCTGTGCAAAGGAATTGGTACAAAAGGCTTGGAAAGCCTCAAGCTCTAAAAGAGCTTGCAATTCCAAGGCTTCAAGCCTTTTCTAAAAACAGGGCTTTGGAATTTAAGTCTAAAGCCTTTTCGCGTGAGCTTGGGGCTTTGGATTTCAGACAAAGAGCTTAAATTCCTTTTAAAAGAATTGAAATCACTTTTTCATGGAAAACTCCATTTTAAGGATGCAATTCCCTTTAAAGAGCTTCAATTCCTTTTTAATAGGATTGAAATCCTCTTTAAAAAGGCTTCAATTCCTTATATGCCTCCCACTCCCACATCATTTTTTATTTCCAATTTTTGTGAGCTTGCACTTTGCAGTACGTAGAACTGTTAGTGCGTGCGGTGTTGTTGTTCTCTAATGGGATAAAGTGTAAGTATCTACCTCTATCTAGAGCCTTAACTAAATTATAATACAATTATATGCAATTATGTACTAGCAAGCAAGCAAACCAAACCAGCACTTGTGCAAACCAACTATATTTATTTATTACGTTACGGCTACTGGGTCCTGTATTCTCATTATATTTTATCCCTTCACTCAACAATTGTATAAAAACGAAAAACACTTGTTAGAGTAATAATCATTCATATTTTATTAGACATTTCAATTCCTTTTGCGAAGGAATTCCATTCCTTTGCCAAGGATTTCAATTTCTTTTAATTCCAAATCCCAATTCCTTTTCCTAACGGATTTCAATTCATTTTTAAAAAGGAATTCAATTCAATTTCAAAGGGCTTTGAGCTTAAGGCTTCGTAATTTTAAGCCTTTTTTAAAGGGCTTTGGAATTTTAAGCCCTTTTCGTGCTAAGAGGAATTTGAGCTTTCCATTCACCATTCCTCTTACACGGACTTGAGGGCTTTGAAATGAAGCCCATTGCAAAAGGGCTTTGCACAGCTCTGATAAGGAGTGTACCTCTATATCAGGACGAGTACCAGGGCTGTCCAGTATAAGGCCCGCGACCTAATTTTTTGCTAAGATTTATAAATTTCCTTCAAATACGAAATATGCACAATATCACTAATAAGGTTGCATACAAAGATGTTATAATGCGGCCCTACAAGTTGTGTACGATAGGTAGGGAAGACAAAAGTAGGATATAAGCATCGGAAATAATAAGGATTAACTGGATGGATAAGGGTATCAAACGAAGTAGTCTTGGAGCTAGTACAAGAAAGTAGGGACATGTGGAAAACCGGCTGGAGAAGACGATATGAAATGATGTCGGGCACGTGCTCAGACACGGAGGATTAGAACAGCTAGCTATAGAAGGTGGGTCAGAGGGCAAGAGAGGTGTAGGACGACCAGAGGCTTAGATACATAGACCACCTAGGTAAGAGCAGCTATGTAAAAATGAAAAGATTAGCGCAGAATAGGAAAAGGTGGTGCGTTCAACGAATCCTAGGATTGTAGACTCCTAGAAGAAAATCATAATGGCATTTTTTAAAGTGTATTTTTATGCTGCTATATCCAAAAAGGGTTCTCTTTAAGAATATGTAATGAAAACTAATAGTTGGCATTAAAAAATAAGCCTTCCTTGGCTACTATGCCACTACCACAAATTTAAAGTAGGTCATAGATTGGTAGTAAACGTTTTTATATTTTTGGATATCATAAGAATCGCCTTTAAAAAAAGTAGTTTTGGATTAGAGTTCCAGACACCCTGTCCATATAAATTTTAAACTGCAAGAGGGCATATAACTAGAGGCCCGCCACAATTCTGACAACAGGGCCCCAAAAACGATGCGGAAGCCATGAAATCGATCAATAAAGTGGTGTAAAGTAATTTTTCCCGGCAAGATTTTTACCAGGCGCGCCTTTGCATTATTTCGTCAGGGATTCTTGAAAATGAACAAAATTATTGGAATGCGAAATTGTCAACCAAGCGGATATGCTTATGAAAAGGTGTGGCCAACTTGACCGTGATCGTTTAATATTTGTAATAATTATCCATTCAAGATCAGAGATTGCATTATTAATACCTACTTGTTGATTCCTTCCACATTAATTATATACCTACAATCGGACCTTTATTAATATGTACGTATTTATTAATCTTGCATAGGTCAACTTCTTCTATAATGTGTTGCAACGCAAATTTGTATCCCCCTTCAAAATAAATGTTTTGCTGCTTTAACCCTACAATCTTGATCTTGATCTTGATCTCACACTTTTCAATATCCTCAGGAGTTATCTCCGGCAATACGGCCGCCTGTATTAGACCATAAAAGATATTTGATAAAGATCTTTTATAAAATATATTAAATATTGTATAGGAAGACGATTACATTTGATAAAATATTTGTCAATCTTTTATAAAACATATTTTATCAAATCTTTGATAGTGTAATACCGGCCTAACTGCAAATGTCACGGTACTCAAAAATTTTAGCGTATCTCCCGATTCCTAACGAACACTCAATCCAGTATTATTGCAAGGGGTAGTTTTTTGTATTTTCGAAATGGTGCAATGATTTGGATACTAAGATTATAGCATGCAGTTCTTACACAGCCCCCAAAATGTAATTACCACACCAAAGTACATAGAGGATCTTACCTTGCAAGCTGATTTATTGCGTTAGCATTTGCGTTCTCATAACACAAAGTAAACACGAAAACTAAATTGAGGAGAACCGTTTTAAAAATGAACATGATGAAGGTTGCTGCCGTTACTGGCGCATTACCATTCAAAATAAATTGTTATTCTACTCTGGATCTATATTATATTATGATTGAAAATCCGGTTTAACGATACACCGCATTAACTATTTTTAATGTCATCGTCATAATTTATGGCATATCATCAAAAATGAGTGTCCCATTCATGGTTTTCGGCGCGCACTTACGTTTCGGCAATAACAAACAATTTGCAAAATTCGAAAATCGTTAATTGTGAATCAATTTGCGTGCTCGGCCTAAATACTCGCACATGGTTTTGTAACAACGTTTTGCGTCATATACGTAGACCACGAATGATTTTCGTTAATGTTTTCATCAACTTTACCTTGGACGTGGAATACTAATTAAGTCCGTCTTGTAAACGTCAGGAAGAAGCGGTCCCATTGATTATGTGCACAATTAAGATTGCGTTTTCAGAAAAAGGTCAGGTTTTTCGATTCTGGTCGTGATCTTTTTATTTGATCGTACCTCGCGAATAGTAGTTTTTTTGAAATTGAACGTCTATTGTCACATAATTCAAAAATTCTTCACTGTAACGGGGTTCTTGATCTTTACTTAAACGGAATTCCCAATATTTTTTAAAACAGAAAGAATATTGTTGAAGTGTGCCTTTGGTAGAGATGCTATCAAAGCATCGATGGCGTCTTTCGGAATTCGCGTTTTGAGAAATGTGCTCCAAATTACTTCCCAGCCACCAGAGAAATTTTCTTGTGAATCCCTAAAAGGGGAAATAAGGAAATGACTTTCTGGTTGAAAGGTTAGAGCTTTTATTAAATAGTAGAAACCACGGCTGAGTTGACCAACAAGGAACAATTACGATTCCTAGTGCCTTATCTTGTATGTTTTTATCCAATACTCTTGCAATAATAGAAAAAGGCGGAAACGCATAGAAGTAATACTTTGACCAGTCTACTGTAAAAGCATCAACCGTTTGATTATATTATCTATGCGTAATAGAATTCGAATAAGAGTTTTGCCTTTAGTAAAAGATTATAAGGCATAGTATGCAGCCTTGATTTCTAAAAAGTTGCTCATTAACCTCCTCGCTGTGCCAGAAACCATGACAGCGTGACCCCCCCCCCCAACAACAACCTCCCCAGCCTGTTTGCGAAGCATCGGAAAATATCTCACACGAGAAAGGTTTGGGTTTTATATCCTGTCTCAATCCGACATTTTTTTGCCACAAATCCAATTCATGCCCCAACCAATTTGGAATGCATATTTTCTTATTATAATTAAAGCTACTTTCTTGTAAAGAAGTTGAAACGTTCTATGGAATAAATTCAATGGACGTAGAAAAAAATTTTTAAAATGATAGTGATGATATACATATTGTCATCAACTATATTTATTTTAAATGGACGCCATATTGGATTTTTATTCTGTTTGATACAGTTTTTAGCGCATTTTTGCAAAAAATTTTTTTTGTAAAAAGTAGCTTTTAATCTCACTTTGGCTGGCTGGCTGGCTGGCTGGCTGGCAGCAAATGTGGGCGCGTAGAAGAACTCTTGTAGAAAGGCAACGGGTGTACGTGTATCTACAGGGCCGTGAAATTTGTCAACCTTAGGGACATGGCTACATGATGTGGGGTTGGCGACATCTGGGCGTCATCCTCGAGCGTAGTATACTAACGTGAAGGTTTTTCAGTTTTTTCCTATCTTCTACTACAGTTTTGGTCCGATTCTTTTGAAATTGGTGTCGTCGGAAAGATGTTGTAAACGCGCACAACTCCTGCGTGGCGGAATTTTGTTTTTTGTCATAGGGGCGAAATTAACGACCTTTTGCGAGGCGGCGCGCGCGTCTTTGAGAAGTAGTCAGGCGCCTTTTACCTTCCGTTGCGAACTCACGCGGTTTAACGTTTCGTGAATCTCGAATCGCTGTCTCTCTTTCTCGTGTCGCCAATAGAAGTGAATTGCGAGTGAACGGGACGTCGGAAGTGGGTACCGTAAAAGGGAATGTGGTAGCCCGCGACACGATCTCACTGATGGTGGAGTCAAATCTTCAAACGCGAATTGCGGGTGAACGGGACGTCGGAAGGGGGTACCGTCAAAGGAATTGTGGTAGCCCCCGACACGATCTTCCTGATGGTGGAGTCAAATCTTCAAACGCGAATTGCGGGTGAACGGGACGTCGGAAGTGGGTACCGTAAAAGGGAATGTGGTAGCCCGCGACACGATCTCACTGATGGTGGAGTCAAATCTTCAATCGCGAATTGCGGGTGAACGGGACGTCGGAAGGGGTACCGTCAAAGGAAATGTGGTAGCCCCCGACACGATCTTCCTGATGGTGGAGTCAAATCTTCAAACGCGAATTGCGGGTGAACGGGACGTCGGAAGTGGGTACCGTCAAAGGGAATGTGGTAGCCCCCGACACGATCTTCCTGATGGTGGAGTCAAATCTTTAAAAGCGAATTGCGGGTGCACGAGGAAAGTGGGAAGCGGTTAGTGAATGTAGTAGCCTTCGACAAGATCTGTTATTGATGGTTGAATCGAAAGTGGCTAATAGAATACTGATCTGCCACACAAAAATGCGCTGAAGTCCCTTCGATCTCAAACGAGGACTTTGATAATTTTTTTTTTCTATTTCCAACCATGTATATCAAGTGATCATTGAAATAATAAACATGGGTAAACTTACAATTTTCATTTTTAGCGCATTTTTGCAAATTTATTTGTAAAAAGTAGCTTTTAATCTCACTTTGGCTGGCTGGCTGGCTGGCTGGCGGCTGGCTGGCAGCAAATGTGGGCGCGTAGAAGAACTCTTGTAGAAAGGCAACGGGTGTACGTGTATCTACAAGGCCGTGTAATTTGTCAACCTTAGGGACAGGGCTACATGATGTGGGGTTGGCGACATCTGGGCGTCATCCTCGAGCGTAGTATACTAACGTGAAGGTTTTTCAGTTTTTTCCTATCTTCTACTACAGTTTTGGTCCGATTCTTTTCAAATTGGTGTCGTCGGAAAGATGTTGTAAACGCGCACAACTCCTGCGTGGCGGAATTTTGTTTTTTGTCATAGGGGCGAAATTAACGACCTTTTGCGAGGCGCGCGCGCGCGTCTTCGAGAAGTAGTCAACTTCGGGCGCCTTTTATCTTCCGTTGCGAACTCACGCGGTTTAACGTTTCGTAAATCTCGAATCGCTGTCTCTCTTTCTCGTGCCGCCAATAGAAGTGAATTGCGAGTGAACGGGACGTCGGAAGTGGGTACCGTAAAAGAGAATGTGGTAGCCCCCGACACGATCTTCCTGATGGTGGAGTCAAATCTTCAAACGCGAATTGCGGGTGAACCGAACGTCGGAAGTGGGTACCGTCAAAGGGAATGTGGTAGCCCCCGACACGATCTTACTGATGGTGGAGTCAAATCTTTAAAAGCGAATTGCGGGTGCACGCGGAAAGTGGGAAGCGGTTAGTGAATGTAGTAGCCTTCGACAAGATCTGTTATTGATGGTTGAGTCGAAAGTGGCTAATAGAATACTGATCTGCCACACAAAAATGCGCTGAAGTCCCTTCGATCTCAAACGAGGACTTTGATAATTTTTTATTCATAGTTGGCCATGGAAACAAAATTAGCATAAAGGCCTAACTGTCATTTTACAATGTAACATTTGTTTACACTGCGCAAGGCAACTGCGGCAGTAGCTAAGCGGTGCCGAATGTGCTTAGTTACTAATGGAATGCATTGTGAACATTTGCTGTAATTTGAAATTCCGTTACTATATATTTTTATGTTAATTAATTCTTTAATAAAACTACTGGCCGGCCAGACAATTGTAACATTGCAAAATGCCAATTGCTTGCTGTTTCCATGGCCAACTATGAAGAAAAAATGAAAATTGTAATTTTACCAATATTTATAATTTGGATGATAACTCGTTGTACATGGTTGGAAAGAGAAAAAAATACTCTACCAAACTGAGTTAAAATCCAATATAGCATCCATTTAAAATAAGGAAGTCAATATCTCGACAACCGCCATTTTGAAAAATGTTTGTCTATGTCCATTGAATTTATCCCATCGAACGTTTCAACTTTTATTTGAAACTTTTTTGATAGCACTCTTTGTTACTAAAATATTTGAACTTGTTAAAAATGTCGATTTTCACTTTTTTCCAATTATCTATGAAACGATTTATTTTTTTGCCCAAAATCGTCCTGAAACCTTCATTTTCATGGCTACTTTCTGTCAGGAAATTTTGGTTTCCATGACAGAGCTAGAACAGACTGTTTCATGACGCTTGTCACTTTACCGGCCGCATCTGTGACATTGCTAAATGTCTATAATGACTACTGTCATCACTGACAGATTGACATTAATCAAAAGTTCCATATAAAAATTGAAATGTTATATTAAAACACGATTTCGGGAAAATTTAATACAAAACTCGTCAGTAAAATGACATTACTTACCTCGGAAATTTAAGTACTCAGCCTCGTACTTCAATATTTCCTCGCCAGTAATGTGACATTTTCCCGACTTTTATAATCATAATAAACCACATTATCACGACCCATTAGTATTCAACCCAAACGCAAAAACCTTAACAGCACTACAGGCTCACAAAATACTGTAATATCTCCACCAATAACCCAAGCAACCATACCCTCCCACACACACCCTCCCACCCTCACACACACACACACACCCTCCCACCCTCACACACACACACACAAGGTTATAGTTACGTATCTATATTTAGATTATGCATTTTTACTAAACTATTTCGGTATTCCGAAGTCGTGTTACTATATTTAAACGTAAACATACTTTTAAAAACACATAAGAACGTTCATGCGCACAATACACGAAATAAAAACAATCCTTACTTAGACAAACCATGTTCTTTAAGAAAACAGTCGTAAGACCCTTTAAGTTTCTTCTATTTTTCAAATTCTTCAAAATTCTCAGATCTATCAGGCGATTGCTCAATGTTCAGATACATAAAATTCGTCATATTCTGAGAATTTTTCCGATTTTTCCTATAATTCACATATTTCATACACTTGGGATTCATCGTTTACTTGGGATTTTCTTTTCTTTAGATTGTTTCGTCTCGTTTTATGGGCCCCCCGATTCTCGAAATTCTTTAGTTGCATTTCTTCTTCAGATTCATCTGCTTCTTTGTATTCTTTCGTTTTTTTTTAATTATTCCGATTCTTAACACTGTCAGACAGTTCTTTGAACCTTTTGAATACCTACTTCGGATGTTTCGGTTTCTTCAGCTTAATAGACATATTTCTTATCTTTAAGATTCTTCGAATTGTTCCACTTCCCCTGCTCCAAGAGTTGAACCATCCTACGTGGTCAAGCCAAAATGTGTAGATTGATAAAAGGACAACCTATTAATATGAATACTTCCCACCTTTTATTAAAAAGGTGACTGTCCGATTTCTGACTACTATTCGGCGACACATTTTTTGTGAATACAGAATTCATAATTTTACATTCTATTCGCGCCTTATAGATACATTAAATACCTATTTTAACTTATATAGATTCTTGTGGTGCACACAGTGTAAATTAATCATTCATTTTCTAACAAATTTGGCGTATACCATCTCAATTAACCATGGGACTGCACATAAAATATGAGCTAAGGTCAGAAGATGGACAACCATATCCAGCCTTCCAGTAGTTTGCTTCACGAAACCTGCGCAAATCTGATGCCAAACCCGTGGGTAAATGCAAAATAGTCCTTACTCATTAAAGGTCCAAACGATAAAGCAACGCATCCACAAACCACCATATATAAAGAAAAGGCCGTCACGAATCTTGTTGGAAAGGCTTCAGCAACAACTAAAGGTAACGGGATTTGTATGAAGCTACGCAAAAATCCAAGCACAGCTGATATCACAACAATCCACCAAAACGAGTCCCCAACAACGTAAACTGTAACAAACCGTTCACTTGTGAGACAAAACCTCCATTACTTACGTATGCGAAATATCGCCGAAAATGAAGCTCCAAAAAGAAATAACTTTCGGCTACTAATGTCGATGCGTGAAGTTAACAAAAAGACAAATATTCTAGAAATTAAGTCTGCAGTAAAGTATGTAGTCATTACTAATGTCAATTCATCTGTACTGAAACCGGCAGTGGTTAATAGCAATGGAAAAATGGAAATAAACGCTAAATCAGATGTCATCGATAGTGATAAACCTAACACTATATTAACAAATGAGGGCTGTTTGAATAGACCCAAATCCAACGCCTTTTCCACAGATTTCCTACAAAACTTTTAGGTGACGATCAATTAGACTTTTGGTATCTCACCATGCATCGAGTAATTTTCTGTCACGTCTCGTCGATGTGCACAGTGTTGGTACCGGCTCTTTATTCTCCTCTAAGTTATTACCGCTAAGTTGGTACATTTGCGAATTTGCATCCAAGGGTTCCTTCTTCATGTACCACTCGACTGGTTGCAAACTAAGCATGGCTGGGAAACAGTGTAATCCATACGCGGATATAAGCGCAACAGTTCCTCTAAATCCGAAGGTATCCATTGACAGTGTTGCTAAGAACGGGAAGGAAATATTAAGTGCAGCTACTAGGACTTGAGCCATGGCCATTGCCGCGTTTCGCCTCGTATCAAAGTAGCGATTGAAGGCCGTGAAAACTGCCGGCATCATCAAACCGAACCCCATGCCTGCAAGAAAAGCTCTCGTGTTTCCTAAATTAAGCATTTTTGACACCTTGCAAAATTCCCCATGTGATCACCAGTTGAGCTCGGCTCGTAACGAATATGCACGAGAAACTGCCCAAAAAGTACAATAGAGCCCCCAGTAGACCGACTACACGATACGAAGTCCTCTGCAGAAGCTGGTTTGCTGGTAACCCTGAAATTTTGGGGCGATGATTTGGTTTTGTTGACGCCTAGACCTACCAGTGAAACAGAGCACTGTGTTAAACACGGAATTTACTATTGCTGTTCCGCTTGTTTCGTCTCCGATGGTGGCGAGAAACGGCCCGTATACTACCCCAAAAACTCCAGTGGGTACAATTATAGAACCCTGTCATGCAACAATATGCGCGCGTTTATTTTTAATTTCCATTGCCAGACGACACACTTACAAATACTGTCGCAACGGCCAACGCTACGACAATTCCCCAGCCCCCATCTGGTGGAAGAAGCTTATTCTCGAGATCTTCTGTTTTCTTAACCGCCATTTACAGTAAAGAAGACTAAACACTAACCATAAAACTTAATCAGCGAATTGGCGTGTTCTTGAAAGGATTACTAAATTGTTATCTTGATCACTATACGATCAATTAATTCTTGAATGATTTAAGCAAAAAGTAACCGAGATATAAACAATGTCAAAGGTTATCGGGATGACACGCGTGAATCGGCAGACTACCGCTACTTACAAATGGTTTCTAAGAAATACTGGACAATGCAAAATAACGCCAACAAATCCGCTTCCCTTTTAGGAGAATAATCGTAATTCCATGCAAAAGGAATTCAAGGAAGATTCCAAAACACGCCACAAGCATGTCTTTTTGAGTAAGAAACGCCAGCCATTATTTCTGACTCACCTCGCCTTGCAATCAGAGTATGATATGGATCTAAGTCATAAATGATTCAAGTTAAAAACATTGCACCTAGAGAACGATACAAATATGTTCCACAGATCGGTTCCTCGATTACGTTAAATCGACATCCGCTACAAATTCTTAAAAATAGCCGACGAGTACGTCATATAATTCAAAAAGAAATTAAAGTAACTTACAGATATCGCTAGAATCAGTTTTTTTCTTTAGGTACAGCTCTCCCTTGAGAAGGCTCCCTCTTAGAAAAGTTGAAAACTGGATCGCTTTTGGAGTGGGACTCTTCTTGTACGGAAAATTTAATGATAATGAACGTTTACTTATCTTGACCGCATTCAAACCGGGCCAAAGTTCGGGAAAACGTGAATCGAGTTCCTGTTACCGCACAAAAATAAAAGGGCCAAACTACACCGAACTCGCCAATTCGTTCGCTCGATATTTGAGTTATTTCGTAAGCGATTTAGTTGTCTGCTTATTTAACGCAAACTGTTTTATAACGTTTAGTAAACCGTGTCCTGCAGCCGCATCAGTGTGCACAAGCTTCTGTATCAAGGATCCATTTTTCTCTCATCTCTATACAAGATACAAGCTGATTATGTTTGCTACAAGTTTTGCTGGGTCAAGTTTTCGATACTTATTAGTTTTCGAGAATCAGCTCTTGAAAATCTGTAATTTTCGAAAAACAGCCCTTTTGTCTCACATTTTTTGCTCTTTTTGACCAAACAAACGATGCACCAAAAAATGTTTTGTTTGTTTCAATGGGATTTCTTTGTGTCACATGTAACGGATGTCGTGAGTGTTGTGTTGTCAAAATCACCAGCAAGTGTTTTGTTTATGATGAGGAAGTGACTGCGTCGAGTCCTGATGTCTCTAAAATGGGGGAGAAGGGGATAATTTCTCTTAAAAAAGCCAGTAAAACTAGCCAATGTGGCGTCACTTCTCCTCCACACGTTGTGTAGCGAAAATTACACGAGGACTCAGTCGCTCGCGACTTTCAAGAAACATAAGGCATCCACATATGCTATTCCTAAATGCGATCTCCATTACCCAAATTCGATGTAAAAAAAAATTGAAAATATGAAACTAAGGGTCAAGACAAAAGAAGGAAGGTACAGCCAGTCAGTACTCTTGATTTCCATAAAGTATGTATCCATTCACCGTATTTCGAATGAAGAAGTGATTCTTCGCCTTGTCGATGTTAATGACCTCGGAGTAAAGTTTGCAATCACCTCCCAACAAATGACTTCTTTAAAAATGCAGAAGATCTCCCAGAATCGTTACTCACTTTCCTCTAAAGCTAAAACGAAGAGAATCCAGAAACAGACCCCGTACTTTTACTTCAAGTCAATTCTTTCCATTCCATGGGTGCCATCAAGTGTAACATACCTGTCACATTATGTGGAGCAGTCAGGGTCAGGCTTCTCTAGACTGACGAAGATGCCTACGTCCCTGGAGAATGGAAACTATTCCACTTGAACACTACAAGGAAGTGAAACTGCATTCCGTCACTATACAAGAATTGATGATCCTGATGAACCTACTCATCCTGATCCTCATGAAGTAGTGGAAATGGTACATACAGTTCATAATCCATCGTAAGCCTAATGCGAAAATATGTCGCTAACACAATTCTATGTTTCGACTGCTTTTTTGTATGGGAAACTAGACCTGGACATCTTTATGAAACAACCTAAGGGATACGAGAGTGGATCCCATTTTGTTTGCCATCTCAAACGCAGCCTTTATGGTCTCAGCAAGCTCCAAGATGATGGGACAAAACGTTGGGAGCTTTCATGATCAAAAAAGGATTTAAAAGTGATGCTGATGCTTGTTTGTTCATGAAGAAGCAAGGAGAAGATATAATAATGTTTCTAGCGCTATATATGTAGATGATGGTCCACTACCACCGAATAATGCATCACTGAAATTTCGTGAGAAATTTTGGAAATGAATTCAAAATTACAATGAAACCAGCCTCGTCTTATATTGGAATATAAATCGAAATAATCAAAGATGAATCGATTAGAGTTAGTCAAACGAGTTATACAAGAAAACTCCTGCAAAGGTTTGGAATGGAACACTGTAAACCAGTTTCCATATCGATTATTAACAAAAATATTCAACCAGGGACGGAATTCAGAAATTTCCATATAGACACGCAGTTGGAACACTGATGTACCACATGACAGGTAAAAGGCCAGATATTGCATATGCTGTTGGAATTGCATCTAGAAGTCCTGAAAAATCAACTCAACCAGTAAGTGCGTTTTTCCTACAATCGTTTAAGAATTAACCAGATCGCGTACGCAAAGTGCTTAATTCCCGCACTAGTGCGGGAATGTCAATAGATTGCAGGAACACGCATATTTCGTCATATTCAACTGCTGACTATGGAATAATTTTCAAACCACGCTATAAAAGTGGTCTTAACCTGCTACTGTCAATGTCAACATTGATAAAAATATATCCCTCTCACACTCACATAATGCTTAATGAGTTTCTTTCTAGCTTATTAGAAGTCAGATAATTTTTTTCCATATACAGATATACATAGGGATTTCCTATGTCTACTTTCAAATTATAAAAAGTCTTCTGAAAGACGCCCAATTTTATGCAACCAAAATAATTTCTTTAAACAAATAAAGATCTGGCTGTCATATTAATTATTAATTTGAATATTGTGGCTTTGGATTCACAGAAAATAAATCTCATAAGCTCATTTAACTCCTAAACGAAAATTAGAATAGGGAAGTCGGAGCGATAATCATATAACATAAGCGAACGCTGTCCGTGTCGCGGAGTGGTGTCACGGGTAGGATATACTTCACGTTATACATAGCACGCACGCTGGATGTAGCATAATTGTTGCCAGTGGTAAACTGCGCTCTACAATACGTTACGGGGCATTACAATGAAACATTTGTTTTGTGTATCTATACTAGCCAGCGGCCAGCAGCGTAGTCGCTGGCATTTCTAGTATTCAAATTAATTAATCTGACACGCAGATCTTCATTTGTTGTAGATAGTCATTTTGGTTGCATAAAGTTAGGCGTCCTTTAGAAGACTTTTTATCATGTAAAAGTAGACATAAGAAATTCCTATAGGAAATCCCAATGTCTACTTCTACATGAATAGCACTGTAGGTATAGAAAGCCGAAACTCGTTATGGAAGGTTCTGAAGATAGCATCTGAATTCCAGATAGCGAAACCATTATTCAAGCCTGCGTGATAATATGGGTTTGAGCTTGAGGTATAACAAATTATTCAATGAGGGAAGGTGTTGAAATCAAGAATACTCTAATTACATTTGCATTAATTTGTAGTGTGCTCTGTGAATGTTCATTGTATGTGTAGTCTGGGTGATGTTATAATTAACTAAAAAGATCGTTTTGCTGTCATAAAATTGTGTCCAGTTTTTCTAACGAATATACAAGTTTTTATTATTTCCGAGACTGTGAGTACAAATCCCAACAGATTTACCAAAACAAATTTTCCATGGATAATATATCAAATATTATAATATAATTAGAAGCTATGTATATTCCGTTATTCAACGTGAGGAATTTGTTTACTTAAATAATCCTCAATTACATTCACATGATATCAACATTATAAGTTGTCATCATCCTCACGTGGGTGAACTCAGATGAACTTATGTTGTTCAGGGGTGTACCTCAGGGCTCAGATCTCGGACCTTTATTATTTACTGTATACGTTGACTTGTAAATAACTATTATAAATAGTTTTTTTTATTAATAAACCGACTTGACTCGACTTGACTATATGCCAGAGAGGGACTACGCTCCTATATGCTGATGAATTGATGTTGCAAATTTAAACTCATCAATTGTGCTTTAGAATTCGCTTCAAGACAATCTATAAATCACTGCTTGAGACTAAACCCTAAAAAGCCCCAATTATTAATATTTAGCGCTGGTGTCAGTCCCTGAACTTACACCTTTTGTCGCCCGTTTGCTTGTAGTACACACTCTGTTGGCAATAAAGACATTTATTATTATTAATATTATTAAGTTTAGTATCAAACCTTATCCAATCTGATAAGAAAAGAAGCGTAAACATATTTTTAGAAATGAGTTCCTAGCCGTTACTAAAATTCTAGATTACAACAATTACAAACACGCGCAATGATAAGTGGTGACTCATCTAATACTATGCGATCAAAAATGAGTTGCTGTCGAGTCGCCTTTGGAATTTTTGTTTACATGGAAAATTGTATTTAACTTGAACTTATCTAATTATCTAATTCATAAATAACTTGTTCATAATATTATTGAATAATTGAGTTACATTAACTGCGCTTTGTTACCAATTACTGCGTAGTATTACATCAAAATGTGGTTTTTAGTAATATTCCCTGTGTTGATAATAACATTATACAAGGTACGAAAGATCTACACCTACTGGAAAGGCCGAGGGGTACCTTATTGCGTGCATCCCTTGCATTGTTTCGGACTGTTTAGTGAAAACGCACTCCGGATCAATTGTTATTCTGATGTTTTCGAAGAACTATACTATAAATTTAAAAATAAAAGGTGGGTTTGAAAATCTACGTTCTTCACTTTGCAAAGCACTAATTTTGCAGGTACATCGGGTTCTACAACTTTTTCCAGCCAGTTCTACTGATTCGCGACCCAAATCTCCTTAAACGCATATGTGTGAAGGACTACCACGCATTTTCTGTACATTCAGAAGCTATACCATTGAATCTAGACGAGCAATGGTCCAAAAACATGTACGCCGAGACGAATAGTAAGAAAGGTTGCTTTGACGATGTCATTCAAAGGTTATTTGCAGCACAGCGGTGGCAAAAGTTAAGAACATCGATGACGCCGTCTTTTACAAGTAATAAACTGAAAAGCTCGTTTCCTGCAGTTGAACAATTTGCCATCGAGTTCGTTAATTACCTGAGAGAGAGCATTGATAAAAACGTTACCGTGAATATGCTGGAGATTATCAGAAGAGTTTTAAGCGATATTACGGTTAACGCTTACTTTGGTGTTAAGTGTGACTCTTTAAGGGAGCCCAAAAATATAGTTCATCTGATGGTTCACGAAGCGATGACGCTACCTTGTTTTCACGGTTTTACCCATTTGTGTAGCAGAGTCTGCCCCAAATTGTTACAGGTACTACACTTAATTCTGACTGAAACCTAACTAAATCTCACTGTTCCAGCTACTTGGCGTAAAAGTGTACAAGGCAAGTGTACAGAATTTTTTTGCTGAGATGATGGAAAGGCGCTTACAGTTAGAATTTGAGAATGGGTTCAAACCTTACGATATCATTACCGCTTTACCTGAATTGCAAGGTGTCAAATTTTCAAATACGGAGAAGCTTAATAGAAGTTTAATTGACGACATCACAGGCCATGCATTTCTACTGACATTTGCGGGCTATGAAACTACTGTGACCACTCTGATGTCATTACTTTATGAGCTAACGGTCAACGATGTTGTCCAAGAAAATTTATACAGAGATATCATTCAAACTTTGGATAAATACAATGGAAATGTATGTTACGAGTCAGTTAAGGCGATGGAATATCTAGAGAGCGCAATTGAGGGTAACAATCTCATTTTTTCTGGAAGATTGAGAATGCTTTCTTTGTCCTTTGCGTGCACCATATGGTTTAGTTTCTCCCGAAAAGGGTCTGTCGAAATTGGTTCGTATTTTGTCACATTGTGTAGTTTGCTCAACTGGTTAGCTACCATTTACAATAATGCGATTATTTCTTCCCATGGAAAAAGAAGTTTTTCCAAAAAAATAGTTTCGAGCATCCTCAAGCCTTCATTAATTAGCCCTTAACCAATTTTAAAGAAAAGGAAGTATACATAATTTTTTTGCAGAAGTCCTGAGGCTACATCCCCCTGCCCCAGTAATTGATCGGCTAGCAACGGTAAACTACGAAATCAAAGCAGAACATCCAAACGAGGAAGATGTGGTAATCGAAAAAGGTACGCCAATTTGGATTTTGGCAAAAGCGATCCAAAACGATGCCGATTACTTTCCTGATCCGAAAAAGTTTAACCCCGATCGATTTTTGAGCAAAAATCGACATACAGTCGCGCAATACACAAACATACCCATTGGAGCAGGGCCTAGATCTTGTCCTGGTAAGAACACAAGGTTTAGAACCCCCCGAAAAATGCCCCAAACGCATTACGCGGTTATTGAGGATTAGGCTCTTATATAGAGTTGTTACAAATGACGTTCATGATTTCAAGCGTACATAAATCTAAATTTGTTTATCCTACAACGAAATGAAGGAAAACTCAAAAAGTTTCATCACGGCTGCTCGATATGGCAACCTCGTGTGATACGACAAATGTTCAACCTGTAATCAAGGTTTGTCATAAATAAGTATTAATCAATAGTTTCGATGGTATTGGTCTGAAGGTATCCTTTTCGTAATGATGGTATAGGTATGCACTTTATCTTTGATGTAAAAATTACAGGGTGTGATATCCCAAGAACTTGGAGAACACTTCAAGAGAGCGTCGTCATTTGGACCTCATTGGAGCTCATACGTACCCAAAGCAACGTTAACAACTGAAGTGGTCATAAAACATATTAGATCCAAATAATCAGAAACATCGTTTGTAAGAACCCTGTATATATTCTAATTTGAAATCTTAAAATAGCTTATATAACCGAGAGCCCCACGGGTACATCAATCCGACACTGCTTTTAGATAGATTCTTAGTCCAATTTCTTTTCCTTTTAGGGTATCGATATGGAATACTGCAAGTGAAAGTGATTATCGTCAATTTGTTGTTAAATTTCAAACTTTTACCAACGGAGCAGACTTACGTGAGGAAATCTAGCAAAACTTATACCATCCGTAAACATGGTGTTTGGGTTCATTTAAAGACCAGACTGAAATAAAACGTATATTGAACAATAAATTAAAGCATATTCTACATTTAATGCAATTTTGTGCTTGATTCTTAATTTTTTCATTTATTTTGTTTTCATATGTAGAATTGAACTACTTAGTACCGTTCTTAGTCGAACGACAAAATAGATAAATGTATCCGAACGTTTTCGCGTAATGTAGTAATCAGGGTCCGAACTTCTGTGAAATCCATTAATTTAAAAGGTTAAAAAAGGAACGAACCCCTATTGTCCTATTGCATAAAACTCTTGTTTAAAATTTAACTTTGGAATCAGCAAATATCAGCATTTCTCACAAATTAACAGCGCTAAAATGGAAACAGTCAGCGAGGATTCTATAATCGGTCCGTGCAGAATAAACTTGGAGGATTCGGATTGAAAACCATGTCTTTATTTCAACGATCATTCAGTTATAAAGTGTCGAAAGTATATAATTCATTCCCTGCCACGTGAAATTGCTAAACGAACAGGAACGTGGAATTTGAGAGTAGTTGTATGATATTTTAATTTTTCCTCAGTTTTATTATTCTCGTATTATAATCTTATTTCCTTTGTTTGTTAAATGATAATTAGCATAAATTCGTACAAGGTTCAGTGAAAGAGCAGAGTTTAGTGCGCCTAAACTATTAAACTCCACCTTGGGGTTCCTCTTACAACAGTACTACTACGTTACGTTAGCTGTTAGTTTATGTGTATTTACTGGTAAGTACAGAGTGAGCAACAAAGATTGAAGCGTGCCGCTTCAGCTAAATTGGCAATGTGCCGCTCATAGCATATGCTGATTTGATACAAGATACGAAATACGAATAGACGCACGTCACTGTGACAGCGCAGAACGTCATTTTCGTATACACCTCCATACAAAGAAGGTAGTTTTGATATTAATAGGAACAAGCGGTGATGACGCACGCTTCAATCATTGT